ACTCTACCTAGAGGAGGATGGGTAAGTCTGAACAGTGGTGGCAGTGGAGGGTACTACCAAACCTAAAAATTTGTCAATATTTATATTCTTCAATTTTTATGGAAAAGAACCCTGATTTTGGAGCCAACAGACAAAATTTGAGTCAATTTTCAGTCTTTACTCAAACAATTTGGCTGTTTTTGTCCCAATCTACTGAAGGAAAGTTAAGACTATAAATGGGACTATTTTGTGAATTTGTGATGAAAAGAGGAAACTGGTGGTGAAAAGGTTAAGGACTACTGTACTTATCACTGCTACAAAACGACTTTCTCTGACTTATCAATGTGGCTTGTCACATTTCATTTTATTTTCAGGAATTACACTGTGGAAATCTACTATCGAAATGATTCAAGTAAATCTCCTTACCCTATCACTGTACCGAATTGTGACTTTGCGTGTCCATTTGATACTTTTGTGAACTTGACACGTGATGATTATCTGGATGATCTTTATCGTGCATGTGAAAATGGACAGATATCAAAAACATTCAGACTAGGTAAGTGTTTTATTATGTCTTTCTGTGATAATGAAAACATAAATACTGTAAAATACTTTATTTTAGCTGGAATAGGGTAGCTGGAATTTATTTTCACAAATTTTCTATGAGTTTAATGTAAAATATAGGAAAACGGGTATATTAGCTGGATTTTATATTCACTGAATCATGCCTTCAGCAAAAATAGTGGAAAATAAATTTAAAGTGAAAATAAAGTATTTTACAGTACAATTTGACATCTGAAGGGACAAAATTGAAAAAAAAATACGAACTGAGAAACTTGTTTTTTTCTCCAAATAGCTTTTATTGTGCAACTTTTTTGAGGCCATGGCCAACTTTTATCATCTTTTAATGTAACAAACAATACTGAATAGATCCATGGTCAAAATCATATCTGCTTAAAAACTTTTAACAGCTGTATTTTGTATTTATTTGCATTTACTGTATCCCCAGGCAACCATTTTTTCAGATTTAGATACCCCTTGATAAAATTGGTTGCCAAGTATTTTGTCTCCTAGATACATGTATAAAATTTTCCCTTCTAGTTATACTTTCAGGGGGCAATACAAACACAAGTCAACATCACTACAGCCTTTCTCTTTAACATATGATTATATTTTTTGCCCTTTGAAAAAATATAGATATTCTATAATCATTCCTATCTGCTAAGACAGTTGTATCAATTTTAGGCCTTGAACATTTTTGACTTCTCTAAAGTAAAAACCAAGTATTGAAACAAAAATGGGGCGACGGGTGGCCATTTTCTTTTTATTTATGTACATACCGATTCCCTATTAAGATATTGCCTGATTCAGTTGAAAGTTTACATAATACAGTAGGGTGTGGTATTTTGTGATGTGATCAAATTGAATTTTGGTTGCTCATTAAATTTTTTTGTGATCAACCAAATATGCTCAGCCCATTACAGTACATTGCCAGTAACGACTGATGTATCACAGCACTATGTACAGCCACACTAGATCGCTGCTAGTGTTGGAATTTGGTAGGGACTATGCATTGTCAATTCTTGTTTTTTTTTTCCTTTTCAGCCTTGATAATTGGCGTGTCAGCAGCGGGAGCTTTCCTACTGGTTATTATCTGCGTCCTGGTCTGTAAGAAATTCTGCAAGTGTTGTAAAAGGGGCCCCTACACAGTACAACATGATGACTATGGGTATGCTTGACTGAACAGTGAACAGTTAGAAATTTTGTTAGACGAAATCAGTTAAATAATTTATAGCCTAGAATTTCTGCAATGGTCCACTTGTTACACGCCATGCCACCAACACTTAGTTAGGTGTTGCACTGGTGGCAATGTAGTCTTAGTTGTGGAAAGAAAAATGACTTAGAATCTAGTTGGTGTTCCGGTCACTATACCCCACTTCTTTATTGTCTAGAATCTATGCAACCGTTAATTCACTATATATCATTTTGCTAATGCCTAGAATCCATTTGGTATATCACTCACTATAACGTTTTTGCTCTATTAGTTGCGCATTCACTTGTGTAAATTGCAGAGGTGTTATATGGTCAAAATAAGTCAAATTTTAATGACTACACAGCAACAAATGTGAACTTCGATACAAGATGCGCTTCTAATAGAGCAAATATGGTATGGCAAAACATGGACTGTATATGGCATACTACTCGCTACATACCATTCCTCTAATGCCTAAAATTAGACTCATCTGCAAAACACAATTAAGTGTGTATTCAACTCTACGCTACTCTGAGCTCAGGTTTGTTTTCATTTATGCAAACCTTACGCACTACGAAATACCATACACAGTCTCAGGAAATGAATTACTTCATATTCGGAAAGTAAATGCTGTATTCTGCATTAGAAATTCCCCATGATAATGCAACCTATGATGATCTACATAAATCTACCTTACTTCTAGTTGACAACATTTGTATTTAGGCAAGGATATTTAAATTGAATCTCTGGCAACAATAAGGTGTATAGGCTTCATAGCAAGGAATTAGTGAAGTGGTGCATGGATGGCAGAAATTCTAAGGTAAATAATTTATTACACCCCCACTGGACAAATTTGTTATGTTATTAAAATAATGCTATTATTTTATTTTACTAGATGAGGTTGTGTTACTGTGATAGGCATTTTTATACAGACATGTGATATATATCAAAAACTGTAAAATACTTTATTTTAGCTGGAATTAATTTTTGCTGAAAAGACTCATTGGGTGTTTTGTATGCAATTTATTTTCACTGATTTTCGACAAATTGAATGTAAAACATAGGAAAAAAGGTATATTCGCTGGATTTTATTTTCACTGAATCATTCCTCAAGCGAAAATAGTGAAAATTAATTACAAGCAAAAATTAAGTATTTTACAGTACATACAGTGGATTGAAGTAGACTAGATGTGATCTATTATCAGTAGAAAAATCTATAAATAATAGACTAGTGAATTGGTCTGGAGGGTTGTGGCCTTTCGTGCTGGTCAGTCTGCGCATTCAAATTCCAATGGTAGTGTACTGTAGTCATAGAGACAGCCAATCAGTGGTGACACAGAATTATGTGCCATCTACGTATTTACATAGAGATTCACCAGGCAATTATTGAGTGCACTGGGAATGGCAGTCTGAATGGCTGAATTCTAGGTTAAGATTGAACCATAGTAGGAAAAAAACCTGCTCGCCTATATACCAACTCACTCAAACATAGGAATTTGGGTGGATTTCTAGTAATTACAAAAAAAAAAAAATAATCCCTCCCTAGACATTTTCTATAATGTGTGACACAGAGGTTAAAATACAGGGAATTTGAAATTAGTTTTGAAAAATATAACTCTATGTGGGATGTGTGTTTGTGTATGTTATATTTGCTCACTAAATAAGATTAAGAATTCTTGTCACAAATGGTGGGCAAAATAACTGCTTGAGTCAGATAAGGGTCCACATTTCAAACAAAAAGGGGTGGTTAGAAAACACAGCTGTTATATAATATTTATATGTAAAAGTTTGCTTGTTCTTATTAAAATACATATACTGTAATTTAAAAAAAAGAATTTAAACAAAAAGTTGTGGATGCATGTGTATGTAAAAAAAAAAAAAAAAACTACCCCCCTTGATTTCAAATGGTCATCCCTTAATCGGTTTCAAGAGAAAATTTTGCTCTCCGTTTACACCAAGTATTTCGTATCTGATTTTTGATGATCAAAACTTGCTGAAAGGATTTATATGTGTCTATATAATATGAGACTGAAAATTTATCTTAACGACTTACACGAGGCTGTAACTTTCTGTCGAAAGAGGGCAGTGTTTATGCATATTATTCCATGAGATTTTCAATATTGTGAAATGTGTGTTTTGTAACTTAGTAGGTCATGTGACTTACTAATGCAATATTCAAAAGGTTTAAAAGTTTGGCCTTTTGAGCGCCACTGTCAACTGTTGGCACCATTCATCCTCCATCATGATATTATGCAGTCAGCTCATCCTGACAGAAAACATACAAATTTGCAAAATTTGTTGATAACAAAAAAAAAATATCTGAAATTATCTTTCATGATGATAAAATTTAAAGAAAATGTTACCAAATGTTTAAATATTTGCACTGAATTTTTGGTGGGAAATATAAAGGGGAAGGATATTGAGATTGCGTACCGTACCGGTGATTCATTATGAAAATTGTGAGAAGCCCGATATTTTTTATTTAATGCATTCTTTTGAATCATCTACAAAATTGGTGTTTTGTTTTTAATTTGTCAAAATATGATGTATTTTGATCTAAATTTACATTGCTATGGAAACTGTTAAAGTGACACAGTCTTTGTACAGCTTATGGTATTTTAATGCATACAATATTTGCATACATGCTTTACACAAATGGGAACTAGAACAACATGTATATTTTAAAAATTAAACAGTTTTTGTGGTTATTTTATGGATAAATACTATTATTATTATACATCTGTCACCGTAACGCCATAAGTTAGTGTGCCGTAATTTGGCGGTATTTTACGAGGTATTTTCATCCTCCCATATTAGGATATGCAAATTCTAAATATGGAATGATTACGTGAGTAAGTGTCTTGTAATAAGTGACCGAACTCCACACAAAAAAGTGCGCTGATTCTATTCTAAACTTTTTGGATTTTGGCATTCCCATGATGTATAATACTCCGCTGTACTGTCTTCGTGCACACTTTGAGGTATCCTCGTAATAACCTCATATTATTCTTATAGCAATGAAACAGTGGACTTTGTTTATGCGTAAAATGCCATGATGATTTAAAAGTATATTTATGTGAACGCTTTCCTTTGTGTACATTATTTATTGCAGCTGTAACATAACGTGTCACTGAAACAAAATCATGTCCACATGCGCAAATGATTAACCAAAAAAATTAAAATATATGTTATAAGAATACTAAAAAGTATGTACTCGGGCAGCACAGGATTGCATTCACATTGATCCATATGATCACCATACTTTTATCTTAATATTTATTTTCCTGATATTTTTATTGTTAAATAAGAGATATTTCAAAACAAAATCCAACTTTGTTATTAACATATATAATATTTTAGTTTACTGTGTTTTTATTGACATTTGGTTGCTCGGAGACTGAGCACTTTATATACTCAAGTTGTGGTAGTGACTTTAGTGTGGGGAACTAAATCTGTTTTCAAAATTTTAAACTCTGTATGACTTTATTAAATGCAATTTTTTTCATTCGGTGTTGTTTTTACATATCTGATTACTATGCAGTTGATTTAAATTTTAGTGTGTGTGAAAAAAATGATTTTCAGTGACGAAGTGTAAACACCATTTTGTGGAACACCTAGAGCTAACAACAGAGTATGCCTGCTTATAATGATTTTCATTAGTCAGCGTGTTCGCAATCAACTTTATTGTTAAATTACAACTGTTTTTTACAAAATATTATTAAGGTAAAACATTTATATGTAGAATTTTTTTTCTCAAAATATTTGGCGTTTAAGTATACAGTGTGTATTTCCATTTTTATGGTTTCAAGTTGCATTCCCACTTTCTTTACATGCAGAACACTTCCCACGGATTGTTGTGATCGTAAGGAAAAATAAAATGAAAATATTGGAGTACTTTAGTTCTAAATCAAACACAACTTGTTACTCAAGTTCACTTTACTTTATTTTTGGAGAAACTTCTAAATTTGATTTCGTGATTTGGTTGAGTTAAATTACTTATGAACTGAAAAAAATCCAAAACCCTTATGTTGCTAACAGCGGTCAGGGAGAGGTTTTCTGCAGTTCGTACAAAGTGTGAATGTATCTTTTATGAGTTATTTGTAAAGTTAAAAATGCCTATGTTCAATAGATATGTAGTACATTTGTGTGTGAATACTAATGGTTTTTGCTTTTAAATTAATCACAATTTGTGTTATTTTAGTGGTACTGTTTATTTGTATGACAATCTTCAAGGGTAGTGGTTGTCACACAACGTGCGTTTGAATATCACTTAAACAAACAATGTATTTTACATGCGTTGTATACATCCAAATGGGTTTCATGTGAAACAGGACGTGGCTCGATGACCACTTCCCTTTAATTAAAAGTATCACATCACATTTAAGGATGGATGTGACTAACTTCTGTGAACTAATTAATTTTCACTGCTAGAAATTGTTATTACTTGATGATTTTATGGTATTCATGAAGACAAAATTGTGTGAAAGTCACTGATGCTTTGAGTTGGAGGATTTCAAAAAAATCGCGAATTTAAAAAGATTTTCCTTTACCAAAAGCAGTTTACATTTGAAAATACATTTCTGCTGAAGATAACGTTCCATTATATTAATTACATTCAAAATTACAGTAACTTGTATCCATGGAAACAATGATTTTGTGATTTGCCTATAGTGTTAATCCCTCCTATGCCAACCATTTTAAATTGTATCCATGGAAACAATGATTTTGTGATTTGCCTATAGTGTTAATCCCTCCTATGCCAACCATTTTAAATTGACAATTAGTCAAAATACAGATTCATAATTCAAAAAAATAATTTGAATTCCACAAGTTTTTCTTTGAACTTTCAAATAATCAGCCGTCAATGGGAAATGCATTGTAGAGTTTCTGAAAACTCCTATGTTGAGTGTGTGTGTTTCTTCCTTTATAGGAGTATTGTACAGTAGTTTTAAATTGTGGCTTAAAAATTATATATACTGTAGAATACTTTATTTTCGCTTGGAAGTTCTTTTTTTTATTTTCGCTGAAGGAATACTTCAGTAAAAATAGATTCCAGCGAATATACCTTTTTTCCAATATTTCACATTCAACTCATCAAAAATCAGTGAAAATATATTCCATACAAAACACTCAAAAAGCCTTTTCAGCGAAAATGAATTCCAGCGAAAATAAAGTATTTCACAGTATTTACAATGTACCAATGCATGGTAATTTGATATTCATAATGTTGTATTGTTATTTAAATGTGTCTAAACTGTCATCATATCACAATAGCAATCAAACCACATTACATGTATAACCACTGTAAAACATTGTACCATCATTTATTTCAAATTCAGAAAATCTGTGATAATTTTTCCCTTTTGTGCTTAACTCACTGTACATAGAAAATCTTGTTGTCCTACAAGAGAAAATGTAATAACCATTGGTGCTCGTCGTCTTTTCTATCAATTTGTGATGTTCTTCACTTGCGCAGAAATGTTACAAGTTATACAACACATTTGCATTCTCCAACACATAAACTCATAAAGTACATTGTAATTAAATGTTGTAAAATAAACAAGGAATTGAAATGAACATGCTTTCACACCATCTGCCTTTCACATTATTGCATTAATGCAGTGTCAAATATTTCTAGATGTGTATTTTTACAATTCTGCATTTTTCTCACGACTTGCTGTATGCTCTATTATAATATACACTTCTATATTCTGTAATGTACTCGTATTTTTTTATCAAAGTAACAATTCTCTGTATTATAAAGCATGTTAATTTTAATGGTTTGATTAAATAAAGGTTTTTATTTAATTTTTCAAAATAAAGTAGTTATTTATTTGTGTCTATAATCTTTAAGCAGTGAAAGTAATGATTTCAGGTTTTACAAAGTGATCACCAGAGGGCGCTAGATACCACCGTCTTGCGTGTAGTCGTATAGATAGGTCAATCGTATTATATTTGACCAGTTTTCAACAAATTTGTTGTAAATACCTGGTGTAACATTAGCAAAATTCTGAGCAATGTGGGTAGCCCCCTCCCCCTACATTTTTTCCGGGTAGGCGACCAGGGCAGGAAAGTTTTTATAGCAGGAAACTGTTTATGACAAATTTAAAACACTGGTATAGTCAATTTTATTGGTCGAAAGCTTGATAAATATTGATATTGGCGTTTCACAGCTTATTTACTGTCTCTGACTTCACTGTGTGTGATAACGTTTTATGTCACAACATCCGGGACACTTAGGATGTTGCAGACGATAAAAGGATGGAATGATGACACGTTTCGTCACTGGGCGATAGATAATTTTGATTTTAACTCAGAAAGTTTGATTTTTGGCTTACAGTTATACCTTGCTTACTGTGTCGTCGTTCGTTCGGGGTGAAAACAGTTATTGTTCGTAGTTTCACCGAATATCGTGAATTGGGAAGATTGACCTCAGACGAGTCTGATAACAGTATACTTGTATCTCGGTATGAAGGGGTCATAGTAACAAGAAATGATAGTCGTCGTTAATTGAGTTGAGATAGAGAGAGCACACTTCCTATTTTGCCTGGTTATCCACAGTGTTACAGTATGGGTAGAGGTGTGAAACCTACAGATGGCTATCCGACACCTGATAAATAAGGCTCTGGTGTACAGATTACCAACGGGATTTGAAAAAAAGAGGATTACCAACGCCTTGTCGGACCTGTGTTTTCCAAAACCATGTGAATCTGGTGCACATTTAACCTGTTTATCCCAAAATTCATATGTTTTTTTATCTTTCCATCTTCTCTGAAATCCCTAACATTTACTATACGTTAACTGTAAATGACATTCTGCCTAGTTTCCCTCTAATTCCTATAATTTGACTGTTGGCGTAAAAATCAATAACATAACGTATTATTTTGTTGTAAATTGCCTCAACATCCGGGGATAGAGGAAAATCTTATATTTCAGAGTCATAGGGCATGAAAGCCAAAATTCTATAATCTAGTATTTTGGTATTAATTATGACTAATTTTAAAATTGAAAAAAACTTGTTGGCATGTTCACTCAAAAAATGCTATGCTTAAAACCACGACGCCTACCCGGAGATAACAATACTAATGTAGTTGTGTGAAGAGGTTACATAAACAGGCTCATTGTGGGAAAACCATTTAACCGAAAATTCAAATTTAAAAAAATTCGTCGATGTTTCCTTATTGCCGAATGATCCATGGAAATTTAGGGAAAGTGTAACATGCAATCGCTGTTCTAAGCCCAAAATGTTCGGCGATTTCGAGACCAGGAACTATTAAAAATTCCGATTGCCATCATGTCTTGCCGGCTTGTCATCTAGTGATTTGGGTGTCCCGATATTAGGATATTTTTTCCAGCTCCAGTTTATTAATAATTTGGGTATAATAATGTTGTGTACGTTAAAAAATAATTCGAGAAATTTTAATGAAAATTTGAAGGGGTGAGCAAATACGCTCCTGAAAACGGCCCATACAACCAATCAACTGTTCGCTTATAAATGCGTTGACTGTAACCACCTGTTAGCCAATGGGGTGTCCGCGCGTATAAACTTACTATTGAACTATCACTGTATTTAATTAAAACTAACCATCGAATCAATGAAGTAATTCTCAATACGTAACAAATTCACGCGGCTTAATTGACCCTTCTAGGTAAATAAAAAATAGTTAAAATAGAAACAGGTATTAAGAGCGCAGGCGCATACGATTTAATGCATATGTTAATGAGGCCCTGTTTCTATTGTCGTTATTACAATGCATTTCGTACCCGCCTTGTGAAAAAACACGACACGGGAATATTCAAAAGAGCGTCAGGCGATCCGGGAGGGTCATTGAGAAAACCAAAACCATCATCGTATCAAGAAGAAGCGTTTGCTTGAGGGTATACACACGTAGGATAGTGAGATAGAGTTTTAACTGCAGATACCTGGATAATAGACAGGTAAGCACACTCGTGATAAAATGCATAAACCGTATGACCTTCTACACGCTGCAGCTGACGTTAAAAGCGAAAGTTGGGACAAACCATTGCCGACTGCTGTTTAAAATTCGACATTTTTTAATGCATATTTAAAATTCGTATGTGCATTAACTGGTACGGGTATGTTGTTAAAGTCAATGTCGGGCGTGTGTCTAGGAGCTGTCATTCATAAAGTGCCCGTTTAATTGGGTACGTTCAGACGCCGCCATGATGTTTACGACTCACCAGTTACAATGGAGTAGAAAGAAAACTGCGATGGGGTGTAACTTTGCAGAGGACGGCAAGGTTGGGATCAACCCATAGTCGGCCAGTAACTGAACCCAAGTTGTTATGTAACAATTAGAACATTTGTATGGATTCATTACTGTCACTCGCAGAGTTTTACTTATTAAACTGGGCTTGATCATTCATTCATTCATTCATTCATTCATTCATTCATTCATTCGAAAGACCAATGGAAACGTGTCCCATTTACAGACAGATTTGCTATCTGTGAGGGTGTTCGGCTGATTTGCAAAGTTTGCTTCAATCAACAATGAATACATTTGAGTACATAAGGACCTTGAGTCTGTCCACGCTGACCCCTTCGTGGGCTAAGTTTTAATGGTCGTCTCGCATCACATGAATTCCCGGCTATTATCGGTATGCAAATTAACCAGGAAAGTATGTCAAACCGAGATGTCACGCTGATTTTCACTTTTACTATTGATCATGACTGGACACATAAGTCAAGTCTACCTGAAGTTCGATAACTGTAGCATTTTAATTATTTTTCGGCTCTCTTCCATGTTTATTTTGTCGGTTATTAATGCTCCCCCTTAATAAAAATCCTAAAATCTAGACCCCTGAAACGCTATTTCCTGCATTTTGAGGGGTAAATTTTGCTGACACAGAGGGTTTCAGCTTGATTTTGAAGGGGCGACGCCCCTCAACATTTTTTCGAGGGGCTACCACCCTTCTGCCCCCCCGTGCCACCGCCACTGTATTGCCATGTTAATTATTTGTATTTTTACGAAACGTAAATCATTCGCCTACATACTGCACGAGGAAGGCGTAGACTCCTGACTTCTTTGGAATTGGATTACAAACCAAACCTAAGAATGGAATTCACACCTCAATTATTCCAAATTATGTGTAAAGGCAATTTATTAATAACTGTTTGTGTTCCTTCTTGTTGCATAAAATCCAATTTACCTCCCAGATTAAACTACGGAATTAAAAAACAAATAAACACAACGCCTACAATTTGTATCAGCGCCCTCCGCGGTGGTCTGACTGGCATGTTGCCATTTCACTCATTTCATCTTCTCGGCGCACCGACATTATTCCGACCATCACTCGACTGTCTATATGTAGACGTTTGTCTTGTACACAAGTTACTGAATCACTAACAGTTTAAATGTCCCTAAATAAACCATAATATGTGCTTCTGTTCTGTTATGGAGTTTCTACTCTGCCTACGAGCCTGCGATTTCTTTAGGATTGGACTTAATGTCCGTATTGTTGCATAACTCCTTGCGATTTCAATCCAGTCGCAATCCGACAGTTTTGCTAATGACTTGGGGATCTCGTGTTTGACCACAGCCTGGGGCCGTAGTTGTACTAAACCAATTCGACTTCACTCTTTTCAGAAATCTTTGTTAACAGGCAATACGTCACTGTAAAGGTCAACACAAGGTTAGAATATACTGACATTTACACGAGTTGGCCAGGTGATGCGTAGCCCCGCCCCTCCACTCCCTATATTTAGGGGGCCTATGCTTGTTCCCTCATTTTTTACCCCCCTATCTAGGGAAAAGAAGAAAATTTAACCCTCCCTTTCACGGGCTTTTCCGATGAATTTCACCCCCTATCTAGGGAACTTTTCAGTCTAGAACTCCTTTTAAACCCCCCTTTTTTGTATATCTCGGGAAGTGTTTTGAAATACACCCACTATTTTGAGAATCTCGGGAAAACAAGCAAAATATACCCCCTTTTCTTACGATTTTCTCGGGGAAAATGTTCCCGAGACAGATCGTCAAAAAGTACCCCCTTTCCCGAGAAAATGGGAACGGGCATGCGGCCCCCTATGGATCCTGAGTGTGTGTGTGTGTGTGGGGGGGGGGGGTGCGTAGCCAGCACGTCACGCGAGCTTACTCCTGATCGTTCGACTTTAATAAGTATTTTGCAATTCAGACTGACTGACAACGACAAAACAATACATTGAGTTATTACAAGCTTCATTTCGTGGTTAATTCGCTAACCTTCTATGCTCTACGATTGTCGGCTGCCAGGCGACCAGATACCATCGACTGGCATTCATTAAAAAAATGGGTAAATGGACCGAGTTTGAGGGGTTATGCGAGAGTCTCGTGACCCCGATTTATTTTAAACAATCTATCACTGGGACACAAAGGGTGTTTTCGTATTCTTTGGTCTGTTGTCGTCTGGTCTAGACGCACACTTTTCTAGACGACGAGCGAATACTGTAAAATACTATATTTTAGCTGGAACTAATTTTCACTGAAAAGACTCTTTGGGTGGTTGTGGAATTTATTTTCACTGAATATTGACGAGTTGCATGTAAAATATAGGGGAAAATTTTATTTTACTGAATCATGCCTTTAGCGAAAATAGCGAAGATTAATTCCAAACGAAAATAATAAAGTATTTTACAGTACAACCAAACTGAGATGTCTGCTCACAGACATTAAGATTGCTTTCGTTGACCTCGTGTCAAGACGTAGTTAAAAGGTGTATAGCAGTGAATGTTTGCATATCAGTGCAGTGAACGAACGGACCACAAATCAATTTTATCAAAGATAGCCGCCGCCAAAACTCATCGGAAAGAAAGATCACTAAAACCCAGCAACTACCAGTTGTCAAACGCATATAAAACTGTAATTGGCCGCGATTCTATTATAGACCCCAGAAAAGTCTCGAATGAAATGAATCAATGAGAGGCACCCCAAAATAAAGCTTTTCAAATCTTGTGTTTTGATAAACAAGTAAACGCAAATTATTAGTGGTCCGCACGCAGGCAATTTGAATAGCCAATTTACGCACAAATGTATGCAAATTTGCAAATGGCTTTTGTAAATGCTAGCGCGTGTTAAATCATCAGACGTAGTATTACGGATAATTTGAATAATAATTGAACTAATTAACACATCAATGTATTGTTGCTTGACAGTACGGTCGTACTATTACAGTATCGTGGGATGGTATGTATTCTAAAATTGCCGTGTCAATTGGTCCACCTGACAACCTGTATTTATAAATACAATAACAATGGCTACGTGACAGTACTACTTTTTATTCTAATGAGATTTGTAATAATTCACAGAAAATCACTAGAATTCATTTTTCAAACACTTAGAGTAAACATTTTAAGCATTCTGTCATTACCGCGACCAGTCAATGATGTACTTACTGCCAATGTTAGATATGAAATAAGGAAGTAGTTAGAGATGCCAATTTAAAAGGACAGAGAAAACCAACTAAGATTGGTTGTACCAGATACCAGAGTTTGGTGGATCTCGAATGAGATGACACGAACCCATCTCCAACATTCTGTATACAGGTGTGCAATATAAACACAAAAAATCGCAGAACAAAAGACACTGGGAAATAATTGTAAGAAGTAAATTACCGATAATATGGATTTTTTATCTGCCTTGTCAGAATAATTCATTCGAAATTTTAATTCGGTTATTTGTAGGTAATTTTACCTGTTTTGTTCTAATAGTTTATTTGAATTGTACTTACGTGTGATATACTTGGAGTGTTCCCATTGGTATTTTTTTAGAATAAATTAATAAGTGAGTGACACGTTTATGAGCACTATGCTTCTATATATTTTATCATTGACAGGTATACACGCCATATTAAAATACTGTCATATTATTATGCATCTGCAATTGTACTGCCAACTTACGCTTTTAAAACCAAAGTTCACAACACAAGGAAATTCCAATAATTTTCATATTTTTACTATTAGCCTCCTGTACCAAGTGGTTAGTTTGGAAAGACGTATAATACTAATGTTATTACGAAATATACCGCGAAGTATGCACTCAGGCAGCACGCGGTCGCATCAACTATCCCTTCCCCGCCGTCTTCTCCCACCACAGCGCGTCGATTGATGCTCCCGTCGTACAAGCTCTTCGTGCACATTTTGCGGCATTTTCGCAGTCACCTCATATTACTGAATTAGAAGGAATACAACTTAGGTAACATGTAGGGTGGGCTACTTGTAGTTGCTGTTATTTATGTTCGTGCTAACAAAAAAATAAAATAAACAAAAACAAACATAAAACAGAAAACAAACAAACTCAGAATAGTCACGTGATACACATTGCTTTACCATTCATTTATTAACCTTTGACCCGCTTTCCTTGTTTCAGACGATGACGTCACAGTGCCTACAGAGCATCATAGTGTTTCTCTCAGTCTGCGTCAGCAGGACATTAGCAGGTATGAATAAATTAACATTACAAGATTGATCGTTGAGGATTGGTGTAGGGTTTGTACGATTACATAGCATAACGTCATTGCTTTATGTACTGATTACTTCCTCTTGGTGTTCAGAAATTAAACATTTAAAGAAAAATCTTAATTTTAAGGCGTCACGCTGCAGCCTTTTCTGTGGCTTTCTAGTTTGAATTCATTTCGGAGGGATACCCTTCAACAAAAATGAACCCCCCCCTATTTTGCATCATGCGCGAAAATTATTTCGTGAATAATTCACTTGAGTTGGAATAAACAAAAGTCTGATACAAATGTGTAATTCCGGACAGATTCCAAGCAGTGATTGGAGGGAATATAAATGCTTGTAGTGTTTTTATGCAAAGTATATTAATATCCTCAAAATAATTACCAAACATTTTCGTAGAATTGGCCACACGTGACCAATGCTGACCAGACTTTGATTGTGTGATATACGGGCGTTATATATGCAAAACACATGATTACGTTAATTCTTTAAACGGAAAAAGTTGCATTTTGGTGATTTTTTCCAAATTCAGAATCGCAAAAGTTTATGGAATTAATTAATTAAGGATATCTTCCATTAAGCAGAGGAAACGATAACGGGAAAAGATGGAATACTAGTACTTCGGGGGTAAACAAGTCGTTTGCTTTCTCGTCCTCGACGAGACACTGACCGTCAACTATTTCCGTCTCTTTAATTGAACACATTGTTAGTAAATTTATTAATAGAAATTAAAATCTGTATATCATCTCAAAACTATTGGTAATTAGCGAATACTACAAATTACCCATCATGCAACAGCACAGAACCATCGATAAAACGATTACGTCCCGCATACGCGCCTGCGCTTTAAATGTATATTACACGGAGGAATTTATTACTGCTCAAAGATTGATGGATTCAAGTCTTTTATGCCCGGTTTTTGGGGAAGATGGAGAAACCAAGTGACCACACGAATGATCACAAATGACTTGATTTGTTGAGATGCTACTTTACATTACCATGACCACCCAAATACGCGTACAGGCTGCTAACCTAATCTTATGCATCTCGTCTTAAGCGCCCTCATATGTCTCATGACTGTCTTCTTTTGTTTTTAGCGGAGAATGGCGGATCGAACAACACGGGTGCACTTGTAGCAGATGTTTCGGGTGTCTGGTCGCTATAGCCGGTTTGGGCATGTGGTTCCGTGATACCTATATGAGGGTTTACCAAGATTTTGGCGAATACGGTACTGGATTCAATGACCCATACAACAGGGAACTTACAGCGTACACCAATCCTGGCATGGTTAAAACAATATCTGGCAACATCGACGTTGAGCACCTGGACACGCCGAGGTATTAATCTTCAGAGGGCGTTGTGGAAAAGCTGCCACAAGCTGGCGTACATCATTCCGGAATATGATTGAATAATAGACCGTTCCTGTAAGTCGTGCCCTCTAACGACGAAGTGCTACAATGACGTCAACATGACGTACACGAGCGTAAGCAATGTCGTTTAATGGGACGCCTCTGATTGGCTGTGTAGACGTTCATCGTTTAGAATATTATTATATTGTGTTTCTCTGTCTACAGACATTCACAAATTGAAACCATATCGACGGTGTGAGCAGCCCCCTTGTCCCCTTGACAACATAGATGCGATTTCTCTCTAGAGGGCGCAACTTAATCGAACAGTTTGTTGCAGATGTGTTTTCCCAGGTGTGAAAGTGCGTGGAAATTATAATCGGATTCCCATCCTTTAATACGATTACAAAAAATGAAGAAATGCAATTACATAAAGCACTTTGTTTATGGTGGAGGGCCGGGGAGGGGGGTATTTTATAATTGTGAGATGTGTGATTTTTTGGTCCGAGGGACACCAGTTTACATTAATTCTTTCGATCCACCGACATTGTTAATAATTTTATTCATGTCGGTACAATCTATCGTCTGGGACACTCATCTTTAATTTTATTTTAATTGCACCCACTCGTGGTCAATACGATGAACAAACATTACTTCAGGGAAAGTTAATGCTGCAAAGACGTTGTACGATTTCTGTCTGAAAATGTAATAATTTGATAATGTTTGTTCCAATTTCATATCATTTGAAATAACATCTGCCCAAATACTTGGTAATTCACCAAATATTTAACAAGTGCAATTTCGAATATGTGCTTTTATAATTGGGAGGTTGCTTGGCATTAACAGGCAGTTTATTTCCAATGCCATATTTAATATTTGTATTAATCAATTGAATGTTGATAGGGACTCCTTGTGTTTTACAATTAGGGTACATGTACTGGTTGGGTTATGGGTTTTGTGTGTGGGAGGGATGTTGTCGGGTGGATCTTGGTATATTCCATTTCTTAAGGTGGATACGAATGCCAAAGTAGATTTGTACTCTAGAAATAACGAAAAAAAATGTGCGGCGTTATGATTTTTCTTTTCGCACAAGTATTATTTTGTATACCTTTCAACAAATTCTTCCGAAAAGTAAACAATTGAATATTTTAAATAAGTGTC